TAAGAAAAGTATTTTAAATGTTTTGCCACTTGCTTGAGCAACTTTTTTTGTGCTGTGTGTAAGCTATTGTGCAACAATTGCACGAGTGTAAAAACAAAAATGCACTGCATGATCGAACATTTAGGTGAGATAAATATACATTTTTGAAAAATGTCTAAACAATGCTCCCCTCCACCCCTCAAATAAATAAAAAAATCCCCTCTCACAAGAGTCACCTAAGAGGGGAATTCATTTTCAAAAAATGAATAAATGTCTAAAATTCCTGATTGGAGTATTACTATAAATAATTCTACATTATAAAAATAAGGCTTTAAAAAGATCGGTATCGGTGATCGTATCGGCAGATACTGCTTTCTGTGATCGGCCTCAAAAATCCTGATCGGAGCACCCCTACTAGTGAGTTTATTCAGAGTGATTCATAAGACACTTTGACCAATTCATAAAAAATAAATCAAACTCCACTTGTTTACGAATCAGACATCACTAGCTGAACAATGCCATACTCTTGTCTACTGTTGTCACATGCAATTGACATTTCTTGCCTGTTTACCATCTTACTGCAACCAATCTTTCTCTCATGTCACATTCAATTCAGACTGCGAGTTCACAGCTCAGCTAAAATATAAAATCTTGTTGCTGTAGAGCTGTAGATTTAGATTCTGCTCAAACAACTGTGATCTCTGAAATATGTCCTCAACCCTCAAAACTTCCCCGAGCGGTGTCAATCTTGACAATGATAAACCATGAAAGTGTAAAACACTAAACTTTCATCCGTTTCCCTAGATGCACGCTAAGATTTTTTCCCGCTTGTGCTGATATAACCCTACATCAGTATGTGATCATAAAAGATTCCCTCCCAAAGCCTGTATTCACACTTCCACTCCCCAGCATAAACCTCGCTACAGCGCTATCCTGAGAGGAAAACCTGTACGATATCAAGGTAAAGAGATAAGGGGTTCGGCCCTGACCCACTACAGAGATGGACAAGGGAATCACTGAGTGAAGACACTTAGTCGGCTGACCCTGGCTGATCCTGAACAGCCGTTTGGATGCATTGTCTGGATTACAGCTACCTATCTCAGACCACCAGAGTTGCAGGCTAAAAAAAAAAATCTCAGTGTCAACACACCTCTTGTTCATTTACGGGTAAATATTTGTCAAGCAGGGTTGTGTACTACTCAGAAATGAATTGAAAATGGCTTTTAAATTTTAATTTATCTCTGAAATTGAAGTGAGGTACACTGAAAAAAAAAAAAAAAGGTGTTGAAACTATTTTCACTCAGAAATTGCTAGTAAATTTCACAATTACAAAGAAATGGCAAGAAACACATTAAAGTAAATGTGAAATCTTGAAGTAGAAAAACTGAAATAGTATTTTCATGTAAACCATACTCTAATAATCTTTGTTTTATTTACAAGTTAAAAATGTTTTTACAGTGTAGCAAAAAGGTAGAATGTAGAATTACAATTCAAAATTTGAAAACGGTTTAAAAAGTCAAGTAGGAAGGTTTATTGCCTTTAGAATGATAGCCAGATAAAATATCAAATAATTAAAACATGTAAATTTACATACATATTTCATATTTTATCTGTCTGTGTATGTCTGTCTAACTGCCTGTCATTAACCCCTGTGTGTTATATATATATATATTTTCAGAAAATATACGGATTTGCTGTCCACATGAAAACGCAAGGGCGGCGTTTTCAGATTTATCCACTCTGGGACCCGGTTTAAAAAAATATCGGTTTCACTCTCCCAAAACGCCGGATACGTGTGGACGAAACGCCTATACGACACAAAATTTATGCGTATACAGCTATGTCTAATATCAAATATCACTCTCTTCTTACTATGATATGTCCATAGAGCTTTTTATGTAACATAGTCTGACTGGACTGTATTAAACTGACTTTTATTTTTCTCCACAAGGCCTTGGGAAGGTCTTTGCAGTGGATTTCTGAGAGAAAATAAATAATAAATCATGCCTTATCACCAGGTGTACACAAACCTTAAATGACCAGTCCTTGATATGGTGATGAATGCTTCAAGTCAATATACCCCAATGAGCTGGATTATGAGGCAATAAAGAGCTCTCTTCAAATGGCGATGACAGTAATCTAATGAGTGACACGTTTTGATGTCAGACAGCCCCTGTCTTTTCCTTGACAAAGTCATCAGGCAGTTAAACCTCACGGGCACAAAGTGAGTTTTTCTCCTCTAGGCTTCGGTGAAAGATGAACCGGCGTCTAATTCATTTTCTCTTTGTTGTTTATCTAAAGGCAGGGCTGGATATATCATGACAGATTGTGACAGCGCCGTAAGGAGGAGGCTGTTAAGATGCCTGAATGGTTCAAATGTAATTGCAGTTTTCTCCTTTTTGACACTCTCTCTTTCTGCAGGCTAAAATAAAAATGGAAAAATTAACCTGTGGAGTTCAAGGCTATTGGATTTGAGTTTCCCTGATATGAATCTTACACACAGATGTTGTGAACAGCATCTTTGAGTTGTCAGAGTTGGAATAACTGAGGCCGAGGACAACAGTAACACTAAATATCTTTGATCAAAAACCAGGTAAGAGCAATGACACATGCTCAGTACAGTTCTCTGTCTGTCTGAGAACAACTGATTTAGAAGAATAAAAGCGATTCCTCCCTCCCCCCGGATATAACGTATTTTTCTTATTCTGTATAAAGTTATAATGATTTTGAAACTTTTAACTTGTGTCTATTTCATGTGTGAGTTGTTGGGTAAATGTTAGCATGAATAGCAGATGTTAACACTGTAGCTACCATACAAAAATTGTACGATGCAGTGAGGTTGGGGACAATATTAATAGTTATAATGACTATTATTATTATTATTCACCAATCTTACAGCATTAACAGACTTATAATTTTTATGTTTTAAAAATTGTATTATATTAAATATAATAGAAAGCTTACATTTAAAAATATTTAAATTAAAAAATAAATAACTAAAATAAATAAAATGAATACAAAAATAAAACTTTTCTTTATGTACAATACAATTTTAATGCCACAATAAAATGTAACATTTTAAAAATAAATATAAAAAAATGTTTCGAAAATAATCTCAATACTCCCTTTTTACAATAAAATTGGAACATTACAATATTAAAACATTAATATTTTGAGAATAATATCAAACTTACTAGAATAAAGTTGAAGCTTTTTTTCAGATTCATAATAGGGGTGTAAGATTTCTATTTCAAATTTCATAAATGAGCTGTATTACTACAACTTTAATCTAAAAAAAAAAAAATGGCACTAACAAATTTGCTGTTAATGAACCAATTGCACACCCAGGGAAAAAAAAAAGTGAATGATAGATCCAGACAGAGAAAAGGAAGACGCAACCTTTGTCCACCTCGGTGCTTTTCCTGTGTCCGCACTATGTAAGACACTGATAGATTTGCCAGTCCTTCCCATCCTCTCTAAAAAAGAAATAACCCATTTTAACCCGTCTCTCGTGGCATTGATTGATAGGCTATGAGCGTCGGACTTAATAACCTCTATCATACTATCTAACCCCTCTGCTGGCAGCAGGCGCTAGTTTGTTTATGGGTGGCATCTCCTCCAATATGCCATGTGTGTGAAAGCTCTAAACATACTTTTTTTGAAGGATACTTTTATTCAGCAAGGATGCATTAAATTGATCAAAAGCGACAGTAAAGATATTTATAATGTTACAAAGAAAATTGATTTCACACACACACACACCTATTTTAAATTATAATAATAATTATTATTAATTAATAAGTTAATACAGTAGGGGAGACCAAGGTAAAACATCTCTGTAATATGTGTTTCCTTCTGGAGCATCAGTGAGTGTTTGAACTTTTTTGTAGCAGTGGCATGCAAGTCCCTCAGCTGTCATCAGTGTGAAAAGATGGATCTCAAAATCATACAGTCATTGTAGGAAAGGGTTCAAATACGCAAAAGTTCCTGTAAAACCAAATAATTTTGCAATTTAACTGTTCAGGACAAACAAGGGACTCATGAACAACTATCACAAAAAAAAACAGCTGTGGATCATCCAGGTAACAACACAGTATTAAAAATCAAGCGTATGCAAGCATAACTTTTGAACGGGTCATTTTTATAAATTCAACTATTATTTTCTCTTGTGGACTATCTATCAAAAACTACCCACAAGCTTTTGAACGGTAGCATACACACACATCAGGCACATTATGCATATATGCAGACTTCAATATACTTCTTTCTAAAGACAAGAGACAATTTTGAAAATGAAAGTAAGGCTGGGAGAATTTAAATACATGAAAAGATTGTAGAGGTAATTTGCTCATCATCGGCTCGTTCATTTCTACATTATACGCATCATAATGGGGTGCCTCAGGGCTCAGTACTTGGACCACTAAGTGCAAATAGCCCGCCTTGTTGATAGAGGCTATTTACAGTAGCTCCACCCACAAATGTGTTATAGGGATAGTCAAAACTATAAAAGACGGCAGTTAATCATCAGCTTCAGTGGCGTAGGTGGTAAAGCGCGCACCGTGGTCATATATATATATATACACACCTTGCTACGTGTACTGAGGCAGGCTAACCGAGACTTGTCATTTGCACTTATATATTGTTGCTCTTTTGTTAGTTTTGACTGCTTTTATTGTCCTCATTTGTAAGTCGCTTTGGATAAAAGCGTCTGCTAAATGACTAAATAAAAATAAAAATAAATAAATACGCACACATTGCCAGCATACATGTAAGTTGCTATCTAAACCGCACACATGCTTCTTCATGCACACGTTCAGAATCACTCATATACATACACTGAAAAGGTTTAGAGGATGAATATACATTTTCCTTACCATAAATTCCTGTCGATATGCATGGAAAGGCCTGTAATAGAAAAAAAAGCAAAAAGTAAACCAACTCTGAAATTAAATTCATATAAAATCACATAAATTCTGACCCAAACCTAATCATGAAGAAGAAAACCGCCTTAGAATCAGAAGTTAGTCATTGAATGTACAGAGTTCAGAGGAGCAGGCAATGAAATGAGCCCAACTTTACAGTTTTCAGCCTTGAGTTGTTGTTTCTTTCCAGTTCCTGCTAAGCTTGCAATTTGATAACATGCATGAATTTCATTAAAGCCAACCCCTATGAAATTCTACTCTGTGAATGGTGTTTCAGAGAAATTTGACGTTTAGTGAATGTCGAATGTTTCATTAATAGCCAGTGGGAATAACTGCTAATGCAAGCTTACACCAATCATCAAATATATATTAAAAAGCCTAAAGACATGGGGCGTTGCTTTTTACTGAGCAGACGTGTTTGTTTTTGTGGATCTCCAGGCTATAGAGAAACACTTTGGCTTCAAAGAAAAGGATTAAATGAGCGTTTCTTCCTGTTGGGGTAGACAGAGCGCTTACATTTGGAGCAGTGCTTTGACGGGACGTGACACGCAGACATGACATCCACCTAAATCAGTTTGAGATAACACATATTGCCATATACAATAACAGTGATATCCCCACCTGCAGGCTTCGCCACCTGCTTTTGACACGCACCCAGTGAGAAAGATCCATTTCAATTTACTTCCCCTAGCGAGATACTTCAAAAGCAACATTTTGCCTGTCGTCTGGTGTTGATCTAATTAATCTGACAGTTAATTAAGGCACAGTCATATTTCAGTATGTCAGGACACATATAGTAGCTGGATGAGAGATGGCCTCTGGGAAATGTATGTCAGTCTGTAGAAGACATCCAGAAAATGTGCACAATATTTCAATACTCCTGAAAATTATAAATGATCCACTCATGGCCTTTACAATATCCTGGATAATTCTGAAGGGTAAGTGGGGCCTTGGATTGGAGCCACTTGGAATCTGGGAAATGTTTGGATCTGTTAAGATGATGGAGCTCTGAACTGTCATAATTTCTGAGGAAATTTACAAAATGCAGAACAACCCATTGTGGCAAGTGTTGCCAGTGCAGGTGAACATGATAATCCCAAAGTGTCTTTTTGCCTAATTTCAGTTGTGGATTTGGCACATGAGTAAAAACTGAATGAAAGATTTAAATATACATGAATCGGTAAAGACTCAATAGAAAAACACTCAAAAAACATTTAGAAATGTTTAATCTATTTTACTGTACGCAAGATCTACATATGCAAATACATGTGAAATGTAGGTTACTATGTGACCCGTGAGCAAAGATGAACTTAACCTCTTGTCGATTTTTTTTTTTATTCTACAGAACACAAAATAAGACATTTTAAAAACAAGATTTAAAAACAAAACAAAACAAAAAAAAACCTTGGGTCATGCTCCAAAAAGTTTTTAAATGGTCTAAATGAATTAAAAGTTCATGAAAACTTTCTGAGAAATACTCACTGATCAAGAACAGGGCGAGAACCCCTGATTCAGGGTCAGTTCTAGAATATGAAATCTGAGACCCTTTATCTCTCTTGTGTACATTTCTGGTCCCATCACAAGCAAATCTATGTTAACATTACCATATTCTAGTCAAGATGTTACATGATGACGTCTCATTTGTTGCTCTGAGATTTTGACATTAGAGAAAATAAATTGTCCAAAGTGTAAAAATGTCCTTAATTACCTGCATTCCAAAAAATAAATAAAAATGTGAATGAAGTGATGTTTATTTAGGGGTGTTTATTTGTGTCTCAGTATTCACTGATAAATGACATATCATTTTGTGAACAGGTGCGTGAGAGTTTTTCTACCATGGAACAAAAAAGACCAGCGCGACTGAGGGAGAAACAGAGCAACTCCGATATTTATGGCCATATTTTTTTAAAGATTAAAAACTTACCATACTGTAATAGGTCTGGCTCTGAGGCACTTTGCACCAGATGTATTACTCAAGAGCAGGTTTAGAGCTGCAACAACCATCATTTTTCCATACGACCGCGTTCCACGCACCCCGTAGCACATTCATCATTTTTAGTATATTAATAAACAGTAAAGAGGAGATATTTATTCAAAGCTCTCATTTGTCTCCACAAACCAGCTGAATCTGTGCTTTAGCATAGCATTTATCACAAAAAACAAAGTGTGACCACTGCGTTAATGCAGCATTATGACAAATGCAAATTTCGCTATCATTTCTGTTTGTTTGGATCTAGATTAGAACAGGAGTAACCATTCGACAATAAAGTGAGTGTTAAAAAGGTGCGAATGCCAGTGCGAGCCGCATTTATTGGCATCGCTCTGACCGGGCCAGACGCTGTTTAATGACACTCTAAAAGCTGCTAATAAGGCTTTGTTTTAAAAATGTTTGAAATGCTAAAAGTAGGTATTTTCCATATCAAATGAGCTTTTGTGCTGCGGCGAGAGCTTTAGCACAAAGCAGACTGTAATTGCAATAATGCTTCGCTAACAGAACATTAGAGGAAAAACAACAACACAAAACAACGATGATATAATTTCAGGTGACAGCTGTACAAATCAAAGGCAGTTGAGCTTTGCAATGAGGAACAGATGAGACACCTACTGAGCTGTGTACCTCTGATTATAAACCATAACTTACTGCAACAATAAAAACATTATATGACCGTATGGCAGATGATGCGGCATTATCCATCCTGCATACGCGCTTCACCTGATACCAGACTGTACTTTCATATTTTCCCTGATGTTTTGGTACTTTCTTTCTGGTTTTTCCCGGGGGGGCTTTGTTTGGCTGGTTATTATTTTACAGGGTTGTGTCAAAGCACTGCTTGTCAAGATCAATAATTCAGCTGAGTCTTTCACTAAAGCTTTGACCTTTCCAGGTGTACATCTCGCTTGGGCTCAAATTCCCCATGATGAGCAGGGGAGGAGGGCCATTTTTAGAGCGCTGCTCGGCTCAACACAATGTAAGCACACTCGCCTGAGTCCCTGCGGGGTTCAATAAAGACTTGCTCAAAAAACATACACACAACGGCATGCTAGAACTGTCCAACATGCTGGAATGTCATTCTGGTGATACCAGGGCTACTTCATGTGAAATCAACATGAAAGCAACATTTAAACCATTTACTTTCTAAATTAATTCCTGGTCTTAATTCTTAATTATCTCAATAAAATCAAAACAGATGGATAAAATCCAGTCAGACACTACATTTTTCTCTTTAAATATTTAGTTTCACTCAGAAATATGGCACATAGGGAAAGTTGCTTTACCTATGTGTACTAATGCTTATATTCACACCATTTTTTTTATTTGTGTGTTGATTTATTAATGTTATTGGTGTTGTTATCACAATTATTTTTACAATTAATAATAAGAAAAAAAAGAAGAAGAAAAAGAATGTTGGTATTATTATTATTATTATTATTATCATCAAGAACAATAACAACTACTAAGACTATACTAATAATAGTTTTGAATGATATCTGTTACCCCTTATATAATATATAAAATATTGGATTGTAATGTATATAAATGTTGGAATTTATATTAAATATTTAATCTGTATTGGAATTTTCATCCCAAAGGCAAATGTCCTATCAGCAAAATCAATTATAAACAATTTTCAATTAAAAACATTCCAATAATTCCCAGTTTGGCCCTTAGCAACAGATAAAACACATTAGATGATACCCAGCATATTTGTCCTTTCACCCACTGTACTGGCTTAATAGAGCAAAAAGTATCATCAGAAAGTAACACGGAAGAACATGGATCTATTGGCTTTACATGGCCACACATTGACTGAATACTCAATAATGATCAATAATGATAATATTCTTGGATGTACAATTTCTAAATCCCTTGCAATTATAGGTAAAGAGCAGAGAGACAGTCTCGCTATTGAGTTCTGTGAGCAAAAACACACAGCTGGTGTGTGTGACTAATCATTTCTAGCTGGTGGAGGTGATAACTGCTTCACAGTGCAGCAGGATACACAAAAACAGAAGCCCACAACTCACTAGTTGATTTAGCTTGGCACAGTTACGCCACTACAACCATGGCCAGCAACACTTGTTTATATATATTACACCGGTGCATTTATATCAAACCACTGCCTTAATTAACAAGGCTGACATTATTACACCTTTGCAGTGACTTATGGTCCTGCGGCTGGATTATTATTTCTGATCTGTCAGTTCATTAGGACCGAATCAGGCTTACGGCCCACTTGCTTTTGCCTGCTTATTGTTTATTGTGTTTTGTGTTTATTTGCTTGCAGTAGCATGTTGAAATTGGTCACAAGGGAAACAATTCCACTGCAACCGCTCTTCTCTAATCAATCATTTCTTCTTGTGTTCTTCAGGTTGTTTATTAAGATTATTATTGTTATTTATAATAGACACCTTTTTTGCTGGAACTCCCACTAGGTTTAAGAGCAGCTCTTAATTGAACGTATTTCCGTGTGGGTCTGTGTTTACATGCGTCAACAGGCCAAATACAGTTTCTGCATTTCTGTGCTTGTTATGTCATGCTGCAGAGTGCTGTAGTGCCATTTATGTTATATGCTTATGTGGGTGATCAGAGTAGGGATTTTCAAAATTGAGTAGTTGGTGGGATGAATGAATGACAAGTCTATGTATAATCAGACTGCTTTAGGGGGACGCCTGACACAGATCAAACACTCTTCTTAGCCCTATATAAACACTAAGCACAACTTTCAATAGCATGATTGACAACTATTCAACACATAAATCAGCTAAAATAACAATAAACGTTAATTTTATAAAACAGACATCATAGATTCTGCATAAAACAGACACTGCTGACAGTCTAACAGTTACAGCTGCTAAATATATACATATATACACACATAGGGCTGTCACGATTATTCAATACTCACTTCCTCATTACAGAGAAAAACTACATTTGAATAAAAATATATAATCTATGAAATTAAACTAGCTGACTGTATAATT